TCAATATCTTTCATAATTGTGTTTCCTAGGTCAGCTGATTGATGTATTCTGGTCAATATCTTTCATAATTGTGTTTCCTAGGTAAGCTGATTGATGTACTCTGGTTAATGTCTTTCATAATTGTGTTTCCTAGGTCAGCTGATAGATGTACTCTGGTTAATATCTTTCATAATTGTGTTTCCTAGGTCAGCTGATTGATGTACTCTGGTTAATATCTTTCATAATTGTGTCTCCTAGGTCAGCTAATTGATGTACTCTGGTCAATATCCGAAAAATTCTTAAATTTCAATCAAGATGAAATTTATCTATTATCAGAAACCAGTATTACAAACCTAATGAATAAATTGAACGATATTGATGAAAATCTGAACCAGAAAGACCATGTCGATATTTTGGAACGTTCAAGGTATGTCTTTTTATATTTCAAACATTTTGCTAAAGATTTATCTATTTGGTGCAAAATTAAAAAAGAAATTAAATATAAATACATAAAAACAATGTTAGAACATTGACAAGTGTGGACTGCAGACTGTATTAGTTGTGATATGTTTTCCTGTTGTTTATCTCCAAAACGTACTTGAGTCACTAATTTTTATGTTTTTTCATGAAAAAAGGCAAACTCTAGAAAATATCATGACAGTTGTAAGTCGAAGGCTGTCATTGGGTCAGATGTTGGAGACCTCGACCAACGATGTAACGATTACAGTAAAAAAAGATGTACTTGAAGGGATCTTTCAGTCACGGTCCAAACCGGGAGCCAGTTTTATTGATTTTGGGCATGAATTACAACAACGGTAAGATATTTGTAGACACAAATTGAGATGTTTCAACAGTTCATTTACATCATTTCAAAGTTTGGTTGAAAGCATTAGGTTTTCAACATGTTCATATTAACATTTCCTAGAAACAAAAATGTGACGAAGGTAGTTATCGTGTTTTCAGTTATTATGCAAATAAGCGAATACTTACTTAAAACAATCAGGTTTATAACAATACCATTATCAAAATAAAATTGGAGAAATTTCAAACAAGCCAAAAATGAGTTAATTAATTAGTAACCATATTTTGTAAAATTAATAGGCACACAATTATTATGTAAAATTAATACAATCAAACAATAGACAATGTAAAAACATAAAAACACATAACTCTTTTTTCCATATATATACATAATGCAACAATGGGTTTTCTAGGTACCCACATTTACAATCTGGGACATTAATTACTGTTACAGTAGTGAACTCATGAAAACCAGGTAGTGTAGAGCTGAATACAATTCAGGTGCAAATACAGTGAATTTTTGGCTCTCTCCATTAAGTCTTCTGACACTGGGAAAAGTGACTGAGGAATTGTACTCAGACTACCAAACAAGTCACTCCCTGTCAGTTCAAAGAAGACGTTGTAGCCTCCATGTGATCCCCCAACAAATTCTTAAGCCCAGCATTATTCAATAAATGTATGTAAACAGAATTACATTTGTGGATGCCCTAGCTCACCTTGATTCTAATTATGGTGTGAAACCTATATATTAGCTGGATTAGCATGCAACCTGCTACAAATTATGAACAATATTTTTTCAGAATAACTGGGTCTTCATTCAGATGTAGTCTGAAAACAGGGATTTATAATTTCACCTCTGTGGATCTATCCATCTGCACCTGTTTGCATCTCATGTATGAGTGGATATATTTATTTGCTCTTATAGGCCACTGGCCCTTTTGCTTATTACAATACTGATGCAACAAATCTTTGGTCAAAGGTCAAGTACATCTTGTCCCAACTTAAATACATTTTGTATAAAAACAGTTAAAAAGTTACTAATAATTTCAAATGAATTACATGACATTAAATAATAAAACTTGTTTACAGATGAATTTGTATAAGACCAAATGGGAATGCATCTCGTACAGAGGACATATAATGAAATGATATTCGTCCTCTACTTCCATCATGTCACAAACTTGACAAAGTCTATAATCAATGTCATATATATGGATATATTTCTTTCAAACTTGGTATTTCCATTGAAAATACATGTAATATGTCTTTGATACATGTCAATTATTTCAGATGGGATTGAAAATGGCCGACTTGGGACCTCTTGTTTTAACAAATGCAGTTCCAGATTCATATCTCTGAGATGCTTTGATTGATTTCATTCAAACTTTACGTCACACATCATATCATATCATACATAATCACATAAATTTGGCCAAGTGGCTAAAAATTCAACAAAATCGAGCATTGCTGCCATTCCAGAACTAGATCTTGGTCAATGCATGAACATATTTCATTCAAACTTGGTATTTCCTTAAACATAATATACCCTTTATACATGTCATTTTTTTTCCAGATTGAATTGAAAATGGCTGATTGGGGGCCCTTTGTTTCAACAAATGCAGTTCCAGGGTCATATCTATGACATGCTTTGACTAATTTTATTCAAACTTTAACTTATATCAATAGGTACAGTGCAGCATGGGATTGTTCAGATGATTCTTTACTGACATGTTCTGGTGTAATCATCCTAATTCAACATTATGAAGGAACGATGGAACATCTCATGTTAGGAGATAATATCATACAGTCAGCTGATATGTTGGATGTGTACTTAGCCAATCCAAAGACAGGTAAATTTGAATGACATCTAAATTCTATATTTATTTGCATAATATGTATATAAATATGAGCATTATGTGAGTGGAAGTTTATTGATCTTTAAATACCACCAAAATAAATTATTTTTTGGCGCACTCACAAATTTGTGCCTCAAGATGCAGATGTTCATTTTGATTGGAGATGCGATTCTAATATTGAGAACAAATAAAGTAGAGCTGCAAGTTTCAGGATACTAGTAGTTTTATATTTATTGGGGGGGGGGGGGGTAAAAGTAGATTGCTAAGCACATATTTTTCATAAGATTTTTGTTCTTATCGTTTTAATTTCAGTAGAGGCTAGATTGTTTACTTTGTAAATGTTTCAGTGTTTTATTGCACTTGTTATCCAAAGTGTGTCAACCTGCAGAATAATTTATTATGATGTGTTAAGACTACAAATTAAACATTTGACATAGGATGTTGTCACGGTGATTTACTTATAATACATTTAAATTCATTCAGGGGAAATTCTGGATGTCACCAATTTGACTGTTCCTGTAACAATAACATTTCCATTGTTCTCTGGACCACCACTAAACAGTGAAGTCTATTGTTATTACTGGGACAATGATCATAATGCCTGGTCCAGGTCCGGGGTGCATTCCTTGGTGAATGAGAGTAGAGCCACAGTTAAATGTAACACAACACACCTCACACAGTTCACAGTATTGAGTGTGGCACAGGAAATGATGTCATCCTACTACCCAAACATTGGTAAGTATCATAACTCAATAAGAGGTATGACTGATATGGTCACTTTAAACAAACAAATACTTGGCGTGTGATATGAAGATACAATTTGAAAAGACATATTTTTAGAAATACCAATGGAACTGGTTCATGTCTGTTTTTTCAAGTGTCCTTGCTTATTCTAAAAGCAGTGTATTAAACAATTTTGACATTGGGCCATTCCAGTTTATATCTGCACCCCCCCCCCCCCCTGTTGATGAGGTCGGATTTCCAGCACTGTATGACTAAAAAAACTGGAATTCTGAT